AGAGCCACATTTTGAAAACGACCTGCCCTCAATCCGCGAAACTCTTGCAAATGTATAAAACGAATGTGCGCCGCTCTAAGACGAGAGCCACGTGTTGAAAACCATTCGCCCTCAATCCGTGAAACTCGTGCACATGTTTAAAACGAATGTGCGCCGCGCTAAGGCGAGAGCCACATTTTGAAAACGACCCGCCCTCCATCTGTGAAACTGTTGCCAATATTGTAGCTTCCGTCATAAATGGTGAGAAAGTCTCGGGCGAAACGCCCGGCCCGTCCTAAAAACTGGCTTCGGGGTGCGACGGAAAGAAATTATTCATAAGGAAAAGGAATGGACAGGAAGAGGAGGAGGAGGAGTTCGGGGAATTTCGACGGGGCCGCCAGGCCTGGGTCTGGCTTGGTTAATTAATAGGCCCAGTATGATCTGGAGTGCGGGGGTGAGGCTGACGGGGAAGGCGTGGACGAGGGTGGGTTTGGAATGGCGGAGGGTGGGCCCCGGGTGTTCGATTCGGGCCAAAATGCCTGGCCCTGGACCTGGACCGTGACGACGTGACGCCCGGCGGGCCTTGGAACCGTGACGCCGTGACGCCCAGCGGGCCCTGGGACCGTGACGCCGTGACGCCCGTCCCGCTCGTGGAGTCATAACTGTGCACATTGTGACACGATGCATGGCCCGAGTGCTCCTCCTGAGCACTAGGAAAACCAGCGTGCTGGCCCATCCGCCATCGTTTCGGGTCCGGCGGGATCCTCCAGCATTGCGCCAGAGAGATCTTCGAGGCATGTTTCGAGGAGGGCTTCCTGGAACATGCCTCCGGTGCCGTGCGCCGGGGCCCTCTGGGGTGGATTCGGCTGGCCCCCTCATCCACGGGACCCTTCGGGGTGGGGTCGGTGGATCCTTCTGGGCAGCGATGCGATCAAAAACAAGGACATCACAATCCATCCCCTCCTCCTCCTCCTCCCCCTCCTCCTCCTCCTCCTCCTCCTCCTCCTCCTCCTCCTCCTCCTCCTCCTCCTCCTCCTCCTCCCCCTCTCCTTCCTCTCCTGCCCCTCGGTTCGGTTTGCTCATAGGGCGATCCGGAGTTTTCGGAGACTTCAGGGCTCCTGGGCGCCTGGGCGTCAGTTTCCTGATTCCTGGCCGCCGGGGCTGCAGATTCCTGGGCCTCTCGAGGTTCCTAATCGCACGGGTTGCAGGAGGATGAGGAATGAGGAGGAGGAGGAGGAGGAGGAGGAGGAGGAGGAGGAGGAGGAGGATGTGGTGGTGGAGAAGGAGGAAGAGGAGAGGGAGAAGGAGTGGAATGAGGAGGAGGAGGAGGAGGAGGAAGAGGAGGAAGTGGGGGGAGGGAAGAGGAGGAGGGGAAAGAGGATGATGAGGAGGGGGAGAAGGAAGAGGAAGAGAAGGACAAGGGATAGGTGGGGATGGATGAGTGAGAAGGAAGGGAGGGAGGGAGGGAGGGAGGAGGAGGAGGAAACGGTGGATGGTGTGGGGATCGAGGGGGGGGAGGAGAATAGAGGGGGCGCGGGGGCTGCACAGTGGTACAGATGCTCATTAAAATCTGTACCACTGTGCAGCCCCCGCGCCCTCTCCAAAGCACGCCGCGCGCAGTATCCGCCACCGTGCCGCGAGGCGCGAAGTGGAGTTTTCCCCAGGCTAGGCTAGAGGGTCTCCAGATGGGCCAAGAGGGGCCCAAAAAGCGCCCAAGAGGGTCCAGGAGGCCTCCAAGACAGCCCAGCAGCGCTCCAAGACGCCCAAGATGGCCCCAAGACGGCCCAAGAGGCGCCAAGTTAGCCCCAAGAGCGCTCCAAAAGGACCCCTACGAGGGCACAAAGAGCTAAAAATCATTGATTGTCCGTGTGCGTTCTCGCGTTTTCGGGCTTCCGACGCTCCAAGATGGCCCCAGAGGCCCCCAGGAGGGCCCCAAAACAGCCCAAGAAGCGCCCAAGATCGCCCAAGAGGGGCCCAAGACGGCCCCACGACGGGCCCAAGAGGGGGAACACGAGCTGACAATGCGAGTCTACCGCCCCAGGCCCCAAGAAGGCCCGAAGAGGCACCCAAGAGAGCCCAAGAGACCCCCTGAGGCCCCACGAGGCTCTCCAGGGGGCGCTCCAGACACAGCCACCCTGGCAGCAATTTAACGCAGTTGTTTAATCCTTACTACTCTTCTGTATGAGTATATGAATATATATATATATATACACACACATAGATCACAATGTAGATGACTATATGTATTGTGTATACATAACACATATACGTATGCATGCATTCACACACATAAATATATATATATATGTATTAGAACCATCGCGTTCTAGCTGGTCGAGCGCTGACCGCATTGAGACGACAAGGCGGTCATGAATAATGAGGTCAACATTATCTCATTCCTCCTGCCTCTTCCTCATCCCTCCTCCGCTCTCATCGACCAGTCAACCGGTGATCTTTCGCCAAGAAATGGGCCAAGAAAAAGTTCAGCGCTACAGCGTCATGTTGCACTATGCTATGGAATGCCATGATACACCATGCTACGCTGTAAAGCGCAATGTCACGATGCAGTATGCAATTCAATAACATGATATACTCTACAGTGCGCGTTGCATGCCATGCGGATGATACGCTGAGCCATATCATGCTATGCTCCTATGAAGAGCGATGCTACCGCGTTGAATGGTATGCACAGACACGGCATGCCGGGCTATGCAAGGCAATGCAATGATATGCCATGTCATGAGCTGCTAGGCTAAAATGAACAGGACGACAGTAAGTACAACAACGGGGGTGTGATATTTGAATGATTTCTGCTTACTGTTTCCCAGAACAGTACGGTGCTGTTCGATTAATTTATGTGCATTGGAATGCCATATGCCATAGTACGCCACGGTGTATCATGAGATGCAATGCCATGCTAGGCAATGTTACGTCATGACGTGCAGTGCTAGGCTCAGCTAGATACTGCTATGGAATGCAATGCTATGACATGCTGAACCATACTGTGATATGCACTGACACGGTTAGCTGTATCGTGCTGTGCCGTGCCATGTCATGTCGTGCAAGGCTGCGATGCCACGATAGGCCAGGCGGTCCTTTCCTATGCACCGGTATGTTTTGGAGGCCTCTTGGGGGCCGTTTGGGGTGCTCTTGGGGCCTCTTTTTGCGCCTCTTTGGGGCCTGGTGGGACCTCTAGGGGGCCTCTAGGGGGCCTTTTGGGCTCTCTTTGGGGCCTCTTGGGGCCTCCTGGGGGCCTCTTTGGGCGGAAGGCTCGAATTGTCGGTTCGTGTTCCCCCTCTTGAGCCCCTCTTGAGGCAGTCTTGAGGCACTCTTGGGCGATCTTGGGCGCCCCTTCGGCCGTCTTGGGGCACTCTTGGGCCGTCTTGGGACTCTCTTGCGCCGTTGTGGCGCCCTCTTTGGGTGCATCTTGGGCCGTCTTGAGCTGATTTCTGAAGCCCTATGTGGGCTGTCTGAGACCGTCGGAAGCATGAAACAGCGAGAATACGAA